AGAAATAAAATACTAAATTCAAGTACATATGCTGAAATTTGTAAAACTACCAGACATTAATGTCCAAACAATTTATTCAGAAATGGAACTACTCAACGATGTCATATTGCAGTTAGGTGACAGTAAACAAACCAAAGTTGAATACAACAGACTGTAAATATGATACTACACTGCTTATCTAGATTTCCTGAATGAAACAACTTGGATAAGTTCAACTCAAACTGGTCACTAGAGCCGAACTGCTGAAAATTTTAAAATATAAACACACACGATACATGAATGCACATATATGATATGACTCACTAGTGATACAACTTCATGCAGCAAAGTCACCAACACAGATCACCGGCAGTATATAGCCTGGTCTATATGTGGAGGGATCTGCTTGATCTCTGTCCCAAGTTCTTGTTCAATCCTATACCTGAAAGATGGAAGTACGAAAGTTATAAAATACCTAGAAATGCACTACCTCAATAAACTATAGTAATTTACTATTTACTATTATATCCAAAAGGAAAGATGTGCATACAAATTAAAGCGATCCTCATAGGTTATCAGGTTCACGGCTAACCCAAGGTGTCCAAACCTCCCAGATCGACCAACCTGCATATAAAATGAACATCCAGAAGAAAATTGCACAGTAGATATCAATAACACTAGCCAAATATACAATCAACTTACCCTGTGTAAATATGTTTCTGAGTTCTTAGGAAAATCAAAATTGATCACAACATTGACTGCTTGAATATCTATCCCTCTTGTAAATAGATCTGCGGTTTGACGGTAGAAGGGAAGGAAAACAACATTTAAAATACTGAGAGAGCAGATAGCAATACAAAACAATAATGAATGCGACAGCATTAGACAAGACTAGAACCAGAATGCAATGGCAAAAGCCTTGACCTTCATCCTCTCTCTTTTATATTTGTTACGAGAAAAAGTCACACCACCATTTCAAGAACCAGAATTGAGATAACCCTGAGAAAAATGAACCTGTCTATTCACTCACATGGCACTAATAATTCACAATCTACACCACCGTAATGGCATTTACATGTGCTCCTAACCCAATCTCAGCTAACATGACTTAGAATACGTAGAACTTGTGAGAGAAAATTTAAGACATTGCATTGAATTTATGATCAATATTATTTCAATAAGTTCCTGGCTTTCATGTCCATGTCCAAACTTTTGCACATTTAGATGAACTATTATCCCTATTACTATGAACAATTAGTGAAGTTATACAAAATTTTGAAGATATGAAACCATGATAGTCTCGAGAAGAAGCACAGAGACAATACCAGTACATACGAGATTCCTGCATGCACCATTGCGGAAGTCATGAAACACTCTGTTGCGATGATCTTGAAGCATCTTAGCATGAATGTAGAAGCAAGAATACCCAAGCTCTGTAATTTTCTTGGCAAGAAGCTCCACTCGATTCACAGAATTGCAGAAAATAATAGATTGATTTATTTGAAGCTGCAGGCAGATAATTAACATGTATATAAATCCCAAAAGAAAATTCAACCACACTAAAAAAATATATAAATATAAATAAAAGGATGTAATGTATTAACAGTGTTATACATTAAAAAATTGAATATAACAGTGCTTATCAAAAGTTTGAACCTTTGAAAAGAGTGTGTTCAGGCAGTGCACTTTCTGTCTTTCTTCAACAAAAGCATAATACTGTGTTATACCCTTGAGAGTAAGCTCATCCATAAGGTTGATGATATACGGCTTCCGCAGATATCTATCTTTGAAATCTTTTACGGTGACAGGAAAGGTAGCAGAAAACATTAAGATCTGACGATTTGTGGGCAAAAAGCGAATTAACTGCTCGATAGAAGGTTGAAACTCTGGCGACAAGAGCTTATCAGCCTGAAGGACATTTTACACAAAAAGCACACAATTTACTTGCTTTCTATTTGAGTAGTGAAATGGCAAATCAAATGTCAGCCCTGATAGGCATAAAATTAAGTTAATAGCAAGACAACTTCAGTATCAACAGGTCAGGAAAAACACTCCCACTTTGAAGGGAAAATTCATAGAAATTTACATCCTTTTTTCCTCGTATATTCTGGACAACCTGTGTCCACATTATAAGTACCACCATCTATTGTTGTTAGCACTTGTTTGTGACATTAAAAAGTTAAAACTGCACCAAGACATCACAAGCATTTCAACAAAATTCTAGCATCTGCTTTTAAAAGGAATAATTCCATCCCCCCATGACCAGAGAAAAGAACCAACCGGAAAGAGAAGATGTATAGGAAGGAAGAAATGAAAAACAAGACTGAATATAATAACATAATTATAAGAAAACCAGCATGTTTACCCATCTTATTTCATTTCCAATTGATAGGCACCAAAAAGGTTAGCCCTATCAACGGTAAATGAGAAGAATATAATGATACATTTTCATACCTCATCCATAACAAGTATGGAGCAATCTCTCAAAATGCAAATACCCCTTTTTGCAAGATCAAGGATTCTTCCAGGAGTTCCAACAAGTAAATGGACTGGTTGATACAAACGCATTATGTCATCTTTTAAGCTAGTTCCACCAGTAGTAACCATGACTTGAATTTCTAAGTGCTTCCCAAGTTCTTTACAAACTTGTGATGTCTGGAGGGCCAATTCTCGCGTTGGGACAAGAATAACAGCTGCAAAGGTGTGCATTCATTAGGGTCCAATATAAGACCTGATACGGTTGAAGCAAATTTTCAAGACAAGACACCTGGACTAACAAAATAGTCGACTGAGGATTCCCAAGTTACCCCGTCAATAACATAAATGACACCATGATGCAGAAAAACTCTTAGTAATCATGTAAAATTCCACATCCCTGTGGAATCCCAACATAATTTGAAATGAATTTACCATATGCATAATTAGCTCTTAATCCACAAAAAATGAGAAAATAAGACAACTACAATCATCTCTTCACCATAATTTCAGGTCCCAGAAATCAGATATAGGTCCCGTTTGGTATTTATTTTTGTAAGAATGAGAATGAAAAATATA